CAAACATCACCTACCCACTTCCCGGTCTCTCTGTGTCCACATGTGTGTGTTTTCTAGATTTATGGCAGGCATGTCTGTAGAAACAAGTTGAGTGCCTTTTTTATGAAACCATGAACTCTTAGCAGATCCCAGACCTCACCCAAGACCTTTGATTGTATCGTTCCAATCACACTACCCCTTGTCATCTCACTATAGATGTCTAAAACAGAATCAAAGTAGTTAGACTATCTCCACAATATTAGTTCTCCCTATACTACCCAGAGATCTGCTAGCTCAGCCATTAGCTGCTCTTGAATAAACTGGTGTTCATATTGGATTCTGTATTCCTATTCCCCCATCGAGGGTACCAGCCAGCTCTGGCTCATCTCCCATGGCAATGCTTTCAAATCCATCTTTCCCCTCCATCCTTATAGAGGCAACCATTTAACCCAGGCCTTGGAAATCTCATATAGATTGATTTTCTCTGACTCCAATTTCTGTTTTCACTGGGATGCATCGTTACCCGGTTATTTTGCTTAAAGTAAATTTAAAATATACAGTATTCCATTAAAAATTTTTTGAAGCTTGCAATTACCTGTAGGATAGAGTTAAAATTCAGAACCTAGCTATTTAGGCCATTCTATAATCTAGCTCTAATTTAGTCATTGATCTTGTATTTCATTCCTCCTTGAGTCGGTTACAATGCATTGATCCTCCATCTTTGTTGAAGCTATATACATGTGTTTGCCAAGCACACACAATCTAAAACTCACTTATTGAGCACTTGATATTACTAGGAGTTTCTCTAACTGTATTTTATAAACTTACTCCTTAAATTCTCAAATAAACTCTCTGAAAGACATGTGATTATCAACTCCATAGCAGGGATGAATAAAGAAGGCACGGAGAGGTCAAGTAGCTTGGCTAAGATCACCCAGTTTGAACAAAAAAGGAGCCAGGGTCCCAACCAGTACTCTCTATTACTTCCTGTAGTACAGACTTCATATTTTCATGCTTCCACTAGGAACATCTAATGGCTTCTGCTTTAGTTCTGAGAGTGGGGAGTGTACCTCTGGTCAAACACCTCAGCCAGTGGCCATGAATTGGGCGGCTTCTCAATCTTGCTGAGGGGTAATTTTCCACCTTTAGGTTACACTCTCAGGCAGGATTAAAAGGACAGCAAGCATTTCACCAACTTCGAGTTCATGAGTTGGATGTTTTCCAGTTTTTAGTGGGGAGGGAGTCGATTCTCAATGATTCTTCCAAGGATGGGATGTGATTGTCTCATTTAATATACTGACTTTGCTGACAGCTCTGGCCCAAACCACCTTCTGGTCTACTTGGGGACTGTCCATTGTTCTCCAGTGCATGATTAGCGGATTAGCTATCATGTAAGGAGCCAGGAAAATGAACTTCCAGGAAGCCCTTCCAAAGCAAAAGTAATTCATTACTCGACCTGATTTCCACTTAAAATGTACTTTAAGCACACTTCCAACTGTAAACCCTAAATCACCCTGTGTTCGCAAAGTCCATCATTTTTTATTTTATTGCATGGCGTTGGTGTGACATAATCCCTTGCAGAGCATCTTGGAGTGCTTTCCAGATCCATAAATTACTCACTTGCACAGTGGAGCACTGTCTGCAAGGCCACCACTGTCACTCTGCAGGCAGCCTGTCCTGTGAGAAGCAAGCAAGACAATGGCTGCCAAGGATGGCCAGGTGCAGGGGCCAGGAGGATGTCTGGACTGGTGGAGTGGTGCTTGGAGAACTGAATGCTCCAGTTAAAACACTGAATAAATTCCATCAAGTTTAAATGCTTTTAGAACTAAGAGAATTCAGAAATGTGGATCTTTCAGATGGTCAGCCAATCAGATGTTCTGTCATTAACTCATCAATTATTATTCTGTCTTGGAAGAATCAATCTAGCTTTTAAAGTGACATAGCCATTAGTTGCAACATTATGTCTTAGAAGTTCTGGATGATAAGACCCAGTGTTCTCTCCTCAACCCTCATCATACTGATTCTCTATTGTTTTTGTCCCACCAAATACCTGTGAGAGTACAGGTAAAATGTATGTGCAATCTCTCTCTCTCTCTCTCTCTCTCTCTCTCTCTCTCTCACTGACTTTCTATCTGAAGATAATGTGAATTTATACATAAAAATGATGGATTATACCCTAGCTCGGTGGCTCAGTTGGTTGGAGCATTGTCCCATACACCAAAATGCTGTGGGTTCAATTCCTGGTCAGATCAGGTTGCAGGTTTGATCCCAGGTCAGGGCACATATGGGAGGCAGCCAATCATTGTTTCTCTGTCACATTGACATTTCTTTCTCTCTCTCCTCCCTCTATCCCTCACTTCTTCCCTCTTTCTCCCTCTCTCTTTTCCTCTCTCCCTTCCTTTCTTGAAAATCAATAGAAACCATCCTCAGATGAGGATTAAAAAAGTAATAAAAATTATTAAGGTCATTCCTTTATGGAAGACACTCTATTCAGAACAGCGGATTTGTTTTGAAATGAGTAAGGCTCTTGCTCAATATCTCATCTTCAGATAATTCATAGCATAGAAAACAGATGAGAAAATGTAACTAAAGAGATTAATTTAAATGCTTTGAAAAAGCTATGGAATCCACAGGAAGAGAAAGGCCACACCCTTTGGAGATCATGCAGAAGACCTTCTAGAAGGTGTGGTAACACAACTAGACCTTGAACAATTCCAATAATATAGGTAGTTGGAGAGAAGAGTCTAAGAGATCAAAATCAGCATCAAGGGCATGAGGACAAGGAAATAATGTGAACTTGTGCCTATTAATGAGCTGCTTAGTGTGTGCAGTGTGGAAAAGAGTGGGAGAATATTTTAAGGAGAAGGAGGAACAAAGGCTAAGGGAAGACATCTTTTTAAAAATTATATTTTATTGATTTTTTACAGAGAGAAAGAGAGAGGGAAAGAGTTAGAAAAATCAATGAGAGAGAAACATCGATCAGCTGCCTCTTGCACACCCCTACCGGTGCCCACAACCAAAGTACATGTCCTTGACTGGAATTGAACCTGGGACCCTTCAGTCTGCAGGCTGACATTCTATCCACTGAAACAAACCGGTTTTGGCAACATCTTGATATCTCCTTTTGTGTGAAGGATGAAATCCAGTGCAATTAAAATTGCTGGATCAATGCTTCAGACAGAGGAAAGATTTTTTCCAACCATTTCATTTCCATATGAGGGCTGCACTCTGGCCTTGGAACAGGGCATGGAGGTGATGGTCAGGTTCCCTGGGACCTCTACAAGGCCAGATGGCGTTGTATGCTGGTAGATGATGTGCCCCGGAATTGCCCGCCGTGGTGGCTTTGACAGGTGTTTATTCAAGGAAAGAAATTAACATGAAGAAACTTAAGAGAGCTGGATGGAGAAGCCAGTTAATTTGTGAAGAATTAATGAGTCAAATCCACTGTCAATAGAACTGAAATGGTGTGTGTTAATGATCCGGTTCTGAGGTTGTTAAAATGTGTAGCAAGTTGGGAAGGTGCTGGAACAACCACTATAATCCCCATCCTATAAATATCTGTTGAGCTTTGACTATGGATATAAATATAAGTAAGTCATGGCTCAGGCCATCAAAAAGCTCATGGTCTAGTGGATGGGAGATGCTAAGCCAATAACCATTGCATAGTGGGATAGGTGCCAAGTGACATTATTACTCTATAAACCAATTGGAAGACAAATGAAGAGTCATGCACATACTGAATATCACATTCACTAGTTTTGATGATACTGGAGAATTAAGCTTAGGTGTGTAGCAACAATTAGCTCCTAATTCAGAACCCCAGATGAAATGGATGCCCACAGACAACTCCTGGCTGTGCTATGGCCCTCCCACACCTGTGGAACATTGGCCTGGGACACTTGAAGTAGGAGGACCACAACAGAACGTAGCTTCTTATTGGGAGCCTGGCCCTCAAACTAAAGACCGAACAGAGTGGGGTTCCTGTTACCAAATTTACCAATTAAATCAAACCCCTCCCTTCCTTTGAGGAATTATTTTAGGCATCAGAGAGAGAAAGGGATTTTTTAATTCACCAGCAGGCTGTGAGTAGGCAGATGAGAAGCTGGCATGTAAAGTCCTGCAGGAGGGCAGAGAGGTACAGGGGTTAGAAAAAGTACATTACCCAGCTGGCATGGCTCAGGGGGTTGAGTGTCAACCTATGAACCAGGAGGTCACACTTTGATTTCTAGCCAGGGCACATGCCTAGGTTGTGGGCTTGATCCCCAAAGGGGCATGCAGGAGGCAGCTAATTGATGTTTTTCTCATCATTATTTCTCTCTCTCCCTTCTCTCTCTCCCTTCCTCTCTGAAATCAATGAAAAAAATATTTTTTTAAAAATCTGCAACAAAGTGACATTTGATTTGCACTTTAAAGGATGACTGGAAGTTTTTTAGGAAGGACATAAGAAGCAATATAAACCCCCAAATGCCTAATTATCAGGAAGGGCATGATGTGTTGGGGGTGACAAGGGGATAAGTTGAGGTAGAATCAGTGGGAATACCAATGGTAACATAGGCTGACACTTGATCCTGAACAGCCTGCTATCCTAGGACAAAGTGGGTGGATATGGTCAGCTGGGCAATAAGGAATAATGGGAGGTGTTTAGGCAGAGATGTGACATGCTCGGAATTGTATTCCATCAACTCTGAATGCAGTGTGGAGAATGACTTGTGGATGAGTGTCGGAGGGGACTTGGGTGAGGGTGCAGACAGGAAGAGGGTGGAGGCGAGGACAATAATGTTGCATTGAAATCCATTCCCATCAATACTTCCTGACTCTGGGTTTAGACAGGAGGAAATAGACAATAAATTCAAGGCATGCTGTTTCTTTTATGTTTAAGATAATTCCTCTAATTTCTCTCCATTTGTTCCCATAACCCTTATAGTTCAGTCCCCGAGCTATTCTGCCAGCTATTATTGTGAGACAACAAAGATGTTTCCACAGGATATTTATTTTCCTTCCACTGGCTTTTGTCTCCACAGTATCTCCCAAAATTGTAGAGATTTCTTCAGATATCTCCATTAATGAAGGAAACAATATCAGCCTCACCTGCATAGCAACGGGCAGACCGGAGCCCACGGTTACCTGGAGACACATCTCCCCCAAAGGTAAGAGAGCAGTTTGGTGCATTGTGTTGTGAAAGGAACTGGGAGAATTGTTATAGCCACTGGGAGAATTGTCATAGCCACAGCTATGAGGTCACGGTGCTGGTGACTTCACCCAAAGGTTCCTTGGTTGTTGGTAGCCTGATAACAATGCTCGCAGCTCTGCGGAGGATTTGGTGTTCTCCGAAAGATAGGCCTCTCATCTAAGATTTCAGCAGCCATGTTTGAGCTCCTATTCAATCCCTGGGAACTGTGTCCCAGCTGGTGGTGGATGAAATGGGGGTAAGATGTTCTTGGAAAATGTCACTGGGCACATTTGATATTGGACAATGCGCTTTCACGGCATTGTTCAGCTGGTTGTTTTAAGAGATAGAAAGCACAAACACCAAAGCAATGAGAGCTCCGAAGGCCCATATTCCTAAATGCACAATTTCCAAATTGGGATTTGTTCAGCATTGCCAGCTATCTGGTCTCTATTTCCTTAGTTGTTTTGTAGTTTTGTTGTTGCTTTACTGTGATTAATCCAAAGTGGTCAAATTGCAAAATTTACTTTTTCTTGATGATTAGATATTGCATAGACCAGACCACACTACGTGTTGTTTTGTGCTTTCATGGATTGAACATTAAACATTTAGAATTTAAGTAGATGCCATGTATCATTAAGTTGGCTTTTAGTCATGGTACATTAAATGATTTTCTTTGTGTTTCAATATTGCTTGAATGCTGGCAATAGTCTAGGCACACACTAAGCATGGGGGAGATAGCAATAAACCAAGACAAGATCACATTCTCATGAGGAAAATGACCAAAAAATGAATATACAAGACACCAGGTGGTGATAAAGATGAGAAAATAGAAACGTGTATAGTGACTGAAGGAGAAGAGGTTTGGTCAGGGAAGGCCTTTGAGAAGGCGACTTTGAGCAGAGACATGAATCAAGAGCCTTACTTTCCTTGTGTATTGTGAATATCCATATATGGATGTATGCATGAAGGTATGCGCACTGCTGAATGATAAGGAAGCCAAAGGAACTCTAGTGGTAGTTGTTTGCTTGGTGTTGCAGGTCAGGTCCCCCAAAAGCGTGTATGAATTTTATTCAAGATACTCTTGGAATCAACCCTTGTGGAAGGAAAGAGAAGGAAGAGGGTTGGACAGGTGGAGCAGTTGAGTTGCACTGCAGTCACGTGGGATATCTCAGCTCACAGGATGGTGCATTCTGAAGCTAGGGTGACCCTTCACGCATGTTCTTTATTGGAGGTGAGGGGGCTGGCACAGCAGTCCTGAAGCTGGGCTGCCTTCAAAAAGGCTGGGACCTGGGCCAGGCATTCTTCACAGGACACGATCCCCGTAAAGCTGCACCTGAGCGAGGGCTGTCCACCACCAGCACCCGCACCCCTGGGGCACACATCCTCTCTTCCTGAGGGGGCAGCGCATCAGCATCCACTATACCTGGGAGATTTTAAAATGCCAGTCAGAGATATGAGGGGCCCTGAATACCAAATCCCCTCTCGTAGACATTGACAATTTGCCCTGCTAGAGGTCTTTGAAAAAATCATGAGGTTTTCAGTGTTGGGCTCCAGTCCCGGGAGCTGCCCCAGGCCATCATTCCTGAGGCTACCCCCATGAGCGAAGGCATCAGAGAGCCTCCCGTGTTTCTGTCAGTCTCCTGATGTGAAATGATGTTAAGTGAGTATAAGCCCACCATCCGGGAGGAGGCCTCAGGTGTGCATGAGATCATCACTGATGGAAGGTGGCCCTGGTACCTGTGAAGGAGGGGCCCCTATGGACAGGCTTTGGAAGACCTTGGTGCACACCAGTCTGTGCTGCCTAATGCTGAGTCCCCAGGGCTCCTGGATGCCAGGGCCACTGCGCCTTCCACTCTGCAGGGCATTTATCATCCCAGCCAGACGTGCTTCACCCTCTGCCAGGCAGAGGCCCTGTGGCCTTCCTCTCGTAAGTCTCCCTCTGTCTCTGTGTGAGGCCTTTTCTCGTGTCCTCCTTTCTCTCTTCTCCTCGGGGCCTCTTCTCCTTTTGTCTTGCCCTTTGATGCCTTTTCCTTTTGTCCTCTGCTTTCCTTTCTCTCTCAGACTCCCACATGTTTCTGCTTTAATTGCATTTTCCCCACGTTCCCCCCCAACCCCTTTCTCTTCTCCACACAATGACTTGTGTCTTCCTTCTGACATTGGAGCCCTCTTCTGTTCATCTCACTGAAGTTCGCACCGCTGTGCCTTACACTCCTTTTCTCGTTTGGGGGCCATCAAGCAGATTCATTTCCCCGGGGGACTTTACCTGCGCCTGGCTCACAAGCTTCCTTTTACCGGGGTTTTTAGCTGCTATGGAAACAGAAGATGGATCAAGGGGAGAGGAGCAGGATAATCAGAATCTACCAGTGGATCCATGTAATGGAGATGAACAGTCTTTTGAGATCCCTGGTCCAGATGAGATAGCTTAGATTCAAACTGATAAGAGATGCTAGGAGCAGAAATTAATCCCCAGGGACTCACCAGGAGCTGCCACCGGGCTGCTGCCAAACCAGAACTGAAGCTACAGACTCGTAGCAGCCACACCTTCATCTTTCCCCACTAAATATCTTCAAAGGATGCTTATTTTAAATGAATTATGGCAGGTGTGAGGTTCCTCAGAGAACAAGGTATGCTGCACCTTAGTGAGGGCTCCGAAGGGAAGGGAGAGAGCAGCTGCCATTTTTTGTCTCATCCTCTGTGCATGGAACAGGTCTCATCCGGGATCATTCTTACGCACACACCCAGTACAAGCACTTTTGGTGACCCTGAAGGCTTCACTGGATTCTTCTCTCCCCAGGCTGACCTGTTTGTTCCGTTCATTTCTGAATAATCCAAGCATCCTCCACCACAACACATGTCACTATTTGCAATAGGTTAAGCCTCCTTCGAATGAATATGCATTTCTAGGGGTGACCACCTTTTATGTGGAAAGGGGATGCCGAAATGTCAGCCACCATTTTACTAGGAATGGCTCATTCATTTCTATGCACAGAAGCTAGAAGGATGGAGGTGGCAGGGACTTGCCCCTAAGGTTGCCTACCACATTCTATCAGGGGGAGAAAATGCCAGCCGTCCATATCCAAGAGGAAGAGGGGATTGAGGCCTCCCAAGCTACCTCTCTGCGTCGCCACTGAGACTGAGAAGTACTTTTCCACCTAGTATGATAGCATGCATCCTAGTTCCTCCTAGAAGTTGCTACTCTCAAGGATTCAAGGACAAAGGGCATTAGCTGTGTAAAGATATCTGCCCTCTTGTGTTCTCCTGCTGGGAAGGTATAGGTTTTGTGCGCACTTGTGTGGTATTTGCAAAAGGAAACGCCCTCATCTCACTGTCTCATGCCAAAACGCCAAATCCATCTTCATGAGTGCTTTCCTGGTCCTTCTTCAAATCCAGTGTAAATTCTAGGAGTCTACTTGAGTGGCCAAAGTACCACCAGCATGCCCAGAGCCTCCTTCGGATACATACCCCATGTATGACTCTGTGTCTTGTATTTTCTCTTAATCTAGGGATACAAGAATTTATGTTAGCACAGCCCTTAAGCGTTAGTGTTTCCATCTCCAAAAGAATGCCTTTGGTGTTCTTGATGCCTCAAGGTCTTCTCTAAATACACAGAAACACCATCTCTGTGATCGTATCCTAAAGTATGCTTTTAGGACATCCCTATTCAGAGAAGAGTGTTCTCAAAATCCAGTTTTAATTTTTCCAGTTTCTGTTGGATTTTAAGATCATTAAAGAGAAGCCAAGATTCCAGTGTTTTCATATTCCTGGGAGGAGAACATAGAGCTGAGGTAAAGGCATGACTGTAGTCACTGGTGTGTGGGTTTTGTATATTGGGGCAGGGATCACTTGGGGTCTTAATGACCCTTCTCTCTCCTTCTTCCCTCTCCTTCTCTCCCATCAAATGAAGCACAGAAAATGAAAACCTCACTTAGGCTACTGAAAGAACACCTTGTACCCAGATACGGGTTGGGGCTCAGTAAGGTCCTGGAGGCTGTTTACAGCAATGTCCCGATTTCTAATTTATGAGTTTTCAGAGATCAGGGCCTGCCTCTCATTCATCTTTGATTCTTTACCTCCTAGCACAATGCTCAGCACCTGGAAAGCATTCAAGAAATATTTGTTGATTCCGTGAGCAAGCACTTACTTGTGCCAGAGCCTGAAGGGGCACGCTTCTTCCCCCATCCAAGTGCCTCATCCAGATTCCTGAGGAATTATCCTGCTCTTTGATGTTGCAGTTGCTATCTGGCATGTTTCCTCTTGATCTTGGCTGGCAAGTCTTCAGGACATTTGCTCTGGTCTTCACAGGATCTTCAAGGCTTTGTTGGGGTCCCCTAGTGGGAACCCTGCCGTGGCAGGGCTTGACTTCTTGGAGGAGATACTCCTTTTCACGTTCTCTTTGCAGAAATGAAGGAGGTTGCCAAAACCAGTTTGGCTCAGTGGATACAGCATCGGTTTGTGGACTGAGGGGGTCCTAGGTTCGATTCCGGTCAAGGGCATGTACTATTGGTTGCGGGCACATCCCTGGTGGGGGATGTGCAAGAGGCAGCTGGTCAATGTTTTTCTCTCATAGATGTTTCTAGCTCTCTATCCCTCTCCCTTCCTCTCTGTAGAAAAATCAATAAAATATATTTTTTTAAAAAAAGAAGGAAATGGAAGAGGCTCAGCAGTGACTCTGAGGAGGGTCTTCAGAGAGCTTGCTTCACCCTCCTCTTGCTGTGTGTGCTGTGTGTGTTTCTCTGGCATGTTCTGTGTCTGGTCTTCCTGGGACCCTTGATCCTTTTGGTGTCTTTCTGTCTGGGACCCTTCCTGTGCCTAAACCCTCAGTATCCCTCAAGAGTTTTGTAAAACAACCCTGGATGTTGCCAGGGAGAGTTAGTTCAACTGTATGTGAAAGTGGTGTGCTGCTCTTGGGTTACAAAATGAAAATACAAAGAAAGATATCAGTGCAACAAAGAGAAACATCTTAAAAATTCTTCCCAC